ATATTCCAGACCCGCCTGGACACGGTGCTGTGCAGCCTGCTCTGGGTAACCCTGCTTGGGCAGGGGGCTGGGCTGGGTGACCCCCAGAGGGCCCTTCCAACCCCCACCATCTGTGATTCTGTGAAGGCGCCAGCAGCTCCCTCGGAGAGCGTCTCTGCTTTGGCTGTCAGGGTGATTGCCAGCTGTCCATCCGTGGTCTGAGAAGGGGCAGAGAAACGGAGATGGCATGAAGTGCGGGGACTTGGGCAAGGCAAAGGCACAGCTCCCGCGCTCCGCCGGGCTCCCTGCAGAATCCCCACGGCTCCACTCGGCTCCAGGAGCTGAACGCAGCTGCCGGGGGCACCTTCCCCAACTCCCAAACTGTTCACGCCGGGCCGCGAGCTGGGCTGTAACGGGACGTGGAACGCGGCACTGCAGGAGAGGATAGTGCTGGGGGGAGCATTCGAGGGGACGCCCCGCTCAGCTCCTGTTCAGAGTTCGAGGAATCACCTTTCATCGGGGTTTCTGACACAAACATCCCGAACTCCCCCGCGGAAGCACCGACGCACGCCTCGGGAACACGATGCTGGAGGCTGAAGCAGAGCGGGGCAAAGCCATGCAAGGATTCCTCTTGCGAGGGAAAAATTCCACGTACAGCAGCCAGGAAAGCTTCCAGCACATCACTGAGCCACGGGCCCAGGAGGCACACTGCAAGGCTCAACGACAGCACAGGACCCAGGTTTTGCCACGTGTTTTACAGTATTTTTATTCTGGGGGAAAAGTTTTACATCAGAAAGTCAGGTAAGGCAGATCTAGAATGCACATTTTATTTAAGTAAAAAAAAAAAAAAAACAAACAGACAACATGGGTAAGGTAGACAATAACTTTTTATATTCTGCCTATACAATAATATTCCTCTCTTTTTATCCACTGCCACGCTACTATAATGGATCTGTTCTAGTCTAGTTTTAAGGTTGTCCAGTTAAGTTGCCTGAAGATTCTTTGAACAAGTTGACCTTTACCTGTTTAGAGTTTCTTCTCTGAAACATTCATATATTATACAGGATATACAGATTTTTTTGAAACAGGACACTTAAAAACACACACAACTATAGCCGCAACACTATCGTAGCTGCATTGTAGCGATTACGTTGTTCAGCCAGCTGTAGACTCTGTATGTACAATTAGTTTTTATAGTGTTATTTACACAGATGGACTAAAAGCTATCTTTCATCTAAAAGGTAAAGGCTCTTGTGTTGAAGGATGTGCAGTTTCATAGCCCTGTGAAAAAAAGAAAAAAACAAAACCACGACAATTATATACACTGTAAACAGCACAAGGCATGAGAATCTCCTCCTACCCAGACAATCTCGCAGGAAAGTGTATGTGCACTAATATTCCTCCTCCGCTTCGGCTCCCACTCCTCTGGCTTTCTTATGGATCGCACGGTTAAAGCTGTGGCAGGCAGGAACCCAGTGATTGTCATGAAGACCTAACTTACAGCCCGGGATGCCCTTCTGCGACCGGTGACAGCACATCCAGTACCCCGGCCCGTAGGGTAAAGCTTGACAGTAGGGCTTGGGGTGCCAGCGGCACAGCGATACGTCCCCCTTCACGTACTTCTTCTTGCACTGCTTGCAAGGGTCTTCTCTGTAGCGGGGATCGCGGACCCAGCGGGAGTCTGCCGGCCTGATGTTGTAGTATTCGATGATGAATTTGAAGTAGTAGCAAGTGCATTTGAGGGCGACCAGACTCCAAGTAGGAAGCAATTCGAAAATCTTCACGATGATGTGGTGAGGGAGGAAGGCCATATACTGCTGAGGCTCCAAAAGCTGCTGAATTTTAAACCTGGTCTCCAGAAAGTCATGCGAAACCTGCCTTTTCAAGCAGGAGGCGTCAAGTACTTGCAAAGCCCCTTCTGTCGGAGGGACAGGAAGGGCAGATGGCTCCGTAGGGACGCCGTCTCCGAGGCGCGATCTGTCGGATGCCAGAGCATCCTCATCCTCGTTTTGGGCTACTTCTGGCTTTTCGTGGGTGCTTTCCCGCAGCGGCTGTTGCTTGTGAGCGGCAGGCTGGTCAGCCTGGAGAAAAAACAGCCTCCCTGGGAGCAGATCTTCGCCAGAGCCGCCGTTAGAGAGCTTCTCCTTCCTGCATCCCTTCTCGGTCTTGGTGACCGATATGCTGATGCACAAGGGCTCCTTCCTAGCAGGGTGCAGGCTCTGCTTTGGGAAAGTTACAGCCTCTTTCAACGTACAATCAACAGTCGCGCTCCTGCTCTGCAAGGAAGCCGGTGGCAGCCCGGCAGGAGCCGGACACGCCCGCCGCAGAGG